CATGGATTTGCGTTGTTCAAGTTGGTGGATGGAAGTTAGAGATATACCCGCGGGTTTGAGGCATTCTGTGACTCCATTGGTGTATAAAATATGCACTGATATACTTTTTCAGCCCGATTAACGCCTGCATTTTGAGAATTCTTTCGTACAAAGTAGTGAATTTTTGATATGCAAATTAAGGTCGAAGAGAAGGGTCTCCTCTGATCACGCTGGTATGAAAATTATTTCAGCTGAAGTTTCCATATTTTGTCTGTGAACTAACTGAATACACCTTGTAACTTGTAACAAGATAGAATTCCGTGAGCTACATTGTTGCAGTCGCTGCGCGCTGGACAAAATCTTTGAAATTTACACTTTCGATCGCTGTCAACAGGGGTGGTCTGGCCAAAAATCATTTTTGGCTTGTTGCGACGCAAAAAAAGAGAATTGGAGAACAAATAAACTATTTTTAAAAACTAAAAAATAAAAGAAACCTTTTTTCCGACGGGAAGTAGAGAGATCCGCTCTTGGCGGGAGCGGCACTTAATAATCAACTTGCTAACCCTGCCTCCTTTTTAAACTTAGCCTCGCCGGGGACTACACTGTAACTTGGCACCCGTGGTGGTAACACAATTTCTTCATGCCAAGTTACGGTGTGGTCCCCAGCGAGGCTAAGTTTAAAAAGGAGGCAAGGTTACCAAGCTAGTTTTCAACGGTCGTGTGTCAAGGTTGATGTGTACGCGGGCTGTTAGAAATCTATAAACTGGAAATTTTTGAAGCAAACTGCGGCTTAGCGTCGGATGCACGGGGAGGATTGAGTTTGTATTGAATTGAAATGAAACTACAGTATATTTGCTTGGATTCTGCGTTAGATTTGTGGCCGCCCGGTCATTTTGCGCTGGGATTTTTCGCTTCTCGGATCGAGCGTTCGGAAATGGAGGTTTCAGCCTTGGGCTTTTCTTTTGTACGTTGAAAACCTCGAAATGGACAACTCGCTAAAATGGTTCTTTTCATCAAAGAAAGCGGTCAGATAACACGTGATACGCTGTGGAAGTAGGGTGAGGTATTTTTATTGAGAATTTGACGTATTGTTTTATTCCTTAGAGCGGTCGTAAATATTCTCATACAAACTCTTATAATTCCGCCATGACTGTTATTGTGCAAGATGATCATATCACAGCTGGAGCTTGGGCCGCCTGTGTTAACATATATAGTTTGAACACTGTAAATTTGAAACTCTTTTCTTTTGAACCATAAATGTTCGGATCTGGGAGTCCCGTAGAAAGCTACATGCATATCATGATTCTTGCTCCGCTGTCCACTTTTAGTAAGTCCAGTACATGTTACGTGTTGGATGATAAAAATAAACAATTACATAGCACTCGTGACTGCTATAAAAGTTCGAGCTTAGAGTGTGAGCGTGGAAGTCAACAGTCCACTTCCTCGAGACAGCCACACTGTGTAACTCGAGTTGGCGATTGATTTTCTCTCAGGCTATCGTTTTCACGGCGCGTGTGAAAAGTGTCGGAGAGCGAGGACGAATCTTTCCAACTGTAAGCTGTCCAACCTGTAGTTGACAGTGTGATTTTGGCGACGATTCATCACTTAGCCATTGCCTTTATACCTGCATCAAACACTTGTTTACATCGGTAAAATTAGGAAAGCGTCCCATTTTTAAAGCATAAGTTAAAGTGAAGGTCTTTAAACTTAAGATACCTTATTGACTAAGATTTCCAAGTTAAACTCCATGAAGCACGTACGCGAATATTCACAATAGCTCAGACCTCTGTGGATCGTACTATAATATGAAGTAGTGAAAGTGCTGTGTAGTTCATTATTTCCTTAATTTACTTTCTCAAATATTTTAGCTTTAACATATGAATTGCACAGCTGTCGAAATAGTAGATAAAACGGCTAGGAGAGAATTTGGTGCCCGAGCGAACAAAACTGCTTTCTTATCACGGTCGTCGCTAAGTAGAAAACACTAGACGTAAGCCTTCCTTCAGCTCAAGCAAACACGTACTATTTCTCGTTAATTTTTCATGTTCAGCTCTAAAGGAAACGTTATTAATCGTCTTAAGCATAGAATCATTATTCACATTTAATAATATAGATATAGCGGATGATGTGTCCACGCTCATAAAACATATAACCACACGTGCAGACAACAGTAATCAAACCTCGCACAACAAGCGAGGCGTTTCTCTAAGAGCTGTAAAAGCACAAAAAACTTCCAAAATAAGCCAGACTTGTTTGGGCTATGGCAAAATTAGCAGTGTAATATCGATTTTTCTATCCCTTGTTTAGTTAATCCGGTCATTCGACCCACAACTGACTTCTCTTCTCTCAATCATACCGCGGGGGTGGCAGAGGCGAGACGAATGAAGCGGTCCCCCTCCCCCGAACTGCACACTCTAATCTTTAATCTGACATGGCGGTTTCGAGAAGCCAAGAACGATAGGATGCCGAAACGCCGACTCGCGCTCCTTGATACAAAAAAGACGCCCGCACTGCAAGCTCATCCCATTCCAAATATATTAATAGCTATACTAGAATGATCCGAAAATAATGAGTATCATGTGGTGAATTAAAAAACACCCGCGTGGGAGCCGCATTGCCACTTAACGCTTATATGTCGTGGGTGCGTTCATCCTTCATCGACAGAAATATCGCTGCCTCAACGAACGTATTTAAACGTGTTACATAGTTGGCAACGTGCTAACTCAGGTTTGATCATATGGAGCATGAATGGGAAAATGTTAGTAAGTTGTGTTATTTTTATGTACTACTTGATCCACACGTACAGTTTTGATAATGTTTCCATCATTATTGGAGCCAGGTTTTCAGGAACTTTTTTTTGTCAAGTCGTAGAGAACTTAAATACTTCTCTCAATTCATAATTTCTCAGACTTCCGTGAAAAGAAAAATTGTATGTCTTGTCGAGCAAGAAAGCTGGACCGATGATTTATCGTATAATGCTATTGATCGACTGTTAGGCAAAATAGTTGCTTGAGTTTGCATCAGTATTTGCGTCGCACGTGTGAACCATGCTTTTATTTATCGCAATTATGCTGTCTTTGAATAATAACAATGATTTCATCATTTCGCAATATTTATCATATTGGCATCGCAACGTGACGCTGTTCTATAATTAAACCTGGAATGGACTTCTGGACTTTGGAATATTCCAAATATGATGGGGATATTACATATGAGCACACGGACACGAATATGAATTTCGCATGCTTTAGATTCTATCAAGTTCTGTTTAGTGTATAATTCTCTTTGAGTTTCTTGCGTGAATGTGTCAATGTTCAAATCCTGTATGTAACTGAATTGAACCAATAGCAGGGAATTTAGTGTTAACAACTGAGTTGAAAACGTGAATTGGCCACCGTAAAGAGTTAAAAGGCTGACGTTTCGAGCGTTAGGCCTTCGCCAATCGCTCTGACGAAAGGGCTAACGCTCGAAACGTCAGCTTTTTAACTCTTAACGGAGGCCAATTCACGTTTTCAAATCAGTTATTAATACTGCTATACTCTCCCACAGACGCAGCACCACAGTTTCTTCAGAACTTTAGCCCTTTATTCATTTGAATCAAACTAATTCTAAGGCATAGTCAGAGTCGTCAACATTCACTTACGCTGAGTCACTTTTGACTATGCAACGATGTTTCGATAATTCAAATCCAGTTCGACTTGTTATTGCCATCATAATAAAAAGAAGAAACGATTTTCACAATCTTTGCAATCCTAACAATCATATCATCATATTTGCAGAGACCGAGTCACGGTTCTTTATCAGTCTGCTGTAAAAATAACTTATCGACAACAACGCCTCTTCACCTGCTAATTTTTTGTGAAATGGTCTCTCCTCTAATTTATTTATCGTCTATGGTAAACACTCTTAACTGGCAGCAAACACAGCTTCAGTAAGAATAGAGGCGGAATAGAGTTATGTTATTTGTGTACCTGACGATCTTCAGAGGTGACCTTAAGCCAAATTTAATAATAAAACTCGGAGAAATCTGCGAAAAGAACAAACCAACAACCAAACGGCCGGTATTTGAATTTTTCAGTGCGAATCTTAAAGTTTGATTGCAAACAGTTGTTGCGTGACAGACATGACAGTCTCATCGAATAAGCTTTGCGAGACGTTCACACTGTTAGCGTGTAGAGTGGTATGTTGCTCGCGCCGCAGTAGGGTGCGTATCTCGCACGAACCAGATTGCCGCATTAGGGTATGTATCTCGCACCAATCATGTCACAGCATTTGGATATCATGCACCAATCACAGCGTTTGGGTATCGTTTTCTTGTAAATGATGTCATGGAATCAGGGGGCTGTGCACAAAGAATGACATTAACCAGAAATTTTTAGGCTGATTTGATTAATGTTGTGACTATGGCCTTTGCATGAGCCTCGTCGAGTGAGGTCGAGATTTATCGGAATATGAAAAGTTCGCATTTATTTTTATTGTATAATTTTGAAGTTAAAACGTGTTTTAACGCTCCTTTTCTCACAACACACACTCACTATCGGATTATCTAACACCACAAAAAAATCACATGAAACTTTATGCAACTGAGAGTGAATTTTTCACGCATTCTCCTGCGTTTTGACTTTTTCTACAAATAAAATTCGCCTTTAGCCACCTTGTAATTAACTCAATCGCGTGTTAATTCCTTGTAAATAAACTGCATTTTATCACACATTTTACAGACGGAGGCCAAAGTTGAGGGGCAACAACCAATTAAGAAGCCCTCTTCGAAATATTATCCTTTTCTCTTGATCAGTGTATCTTCACTTCTACGAGATCGCAATATATCTTTGGTTAGGGTCTATTGGAGATATTGGAGATAGCACAGTTTCAGTCTGCCTTTCGCAGTAAAATTAAGTGGAACTATATTTTTGAGGCGACTTTCTGTAGACAAATAATTTTGACTTTCTTTCTGCTAGACGAACGGTAGTAAGCGTAGACTCTTTCACAACCGTTATTTGGTCTCGTCTCGCAATGGCTCTATCTCCCTCCTACGGGGAACTAGAGGGCGTTGTGTGACAAGACAGAACAACGGCTGCGAAGGAGACTCCAGTAAGCGTGACACCGATGCATTATATATTTGCTCAAAAGTAATTAGACAATAGAGACAATGAACCACAAAATACCTGTGCGAGTTTAGATAAATTATGTTTTTTTCTCTTGAAGTGAAGTAATGAGATATTTTCGTTCTTTTGTAAGTTCTGAAAACATAAGGAACGCTTTGTTTTATGAATTAACGCTCATAGAAATCGTGAAAAACATAGCCACCTAAATCATGTATACATTTTTAGACATATTGACGTCGTTGACCCTGTCTTTTGTACTGAAAAGGACGCCACGGTAACGTATATCACAGCGTAGGAAACTTTTAGAGCACTGAATCACATTTGTGTGACGTGTTTCTACCTTGTCTTTCACCTCAGTTTATCAGTTACTCTCGTTCACCCAGTGGCGTTCCGTAAGGTGTCCACAATTAGCTAATATATAAGTAAATACTCTAACACTTAAACAAAGTTCATATATACATAGGTATTAAGAGACAAACCACAGAACCATTCAAAGAAAACCAGCAACAACTCAAAGTAACTTGGTTGTTGTTGGCCCACTGGATTCGAACGAAGCTGAAAGTTTCCCCAGAAACTCGCCTCCGGGTGTGTGTTCATGGTTTGAAGACAAACTTATAAATGAAGGAAGTTACTGCCGTTTGCCTACAAGAGAATATGGTCTTCTTCTATTTGAACGTGACCTTGCTGAAAGAAATCTCAGAGTTGCAAATTACCGACTTTCCGACGAGCGACAAAAGCAAAGAAATCAAGGAAGATATGGTAGGGATTCCTTCATTTACCTTTCGATCTGAGTTTCTGCGTAGGGGCACATGTTGAAAATCTAATTCAGAGACGGCCTAAATGTCATCTTGAAACCGGCTTTCCCAGTTTGTAATACTACTACTTCAAGAAGGGAACCACACTGTCTAGAGTCCTATCAGTATAATCAATCTGCAAAGCCCTGTTCTTAGCATTCTTGAGTGTGGACTTGCATCAGTAGGACCCTGTTATTTTACCTTAGATAAATCTGCCCTTTACCCTTCATACATCGAACCCTCTGTCCTTAGTTTCCCTAGTTTCTGACCTGTATCCCCTGGTATCTCACCTGTATATTTTCTCAGCGATAAGATCTGTGTCTCAATTCAACCTGACAATGCTGCACTGCTATAACTTTCCACAGGAACTATGGCAACTACAGATCAGCAAAACAACATGGAACATGTGCACGAGGTACCGATTCAGTCTAGCCCCCGACTGAGCTCGAAATTACCCTTGGATCATCGCAGTAGTGGGGAGGACGGCACGAGAATCCATTCTCATCTTAACGGATACGCACATCACCAAGACAACGTTAGCCAAGACAGTAACTCTGAAAACGAAGACAAACATGGACATGAGGCAACCAATAAGTACACGAGCAGTTCTAATGACGATGACGATCGTGGTGGTGGTGACGATGATAATAATGATGATTATGATGTCATTAGAAACAACGAAGAAAGCAGTGAGAACAAAAACGGTGACGTAGTTAATGACGATGACAATAATGAGAACTGTGATGAAAACTGTGGAATTGAATATCTTAATAATCATGAAAGTAGCAATTATTATGATGATGAAGAAAACTTTGCCTGCAACAATGGTGTTTGTGCTGAGAGTTGCAACATTCAAGCCCCTCTATGCCCAAAAGAAGACGAAACTTTTGTGGAGTCAGATGAAACCGATGAGTCTCTAACTGAAGAATTAAACGCCAGCTTGCTATTAAACTCACAGTACAGCATTGGTGAAGACACAGGCAACTCTAGTGCTGAGAACAATGATGGAAGCCTGGCCAGTAGTAGTAGCAATAATGACAGTTCTTGTGAAAATTCCAACACCAGAAGTGACAAGAAGACGACTAAAGACCTGCAAAAACCTAGCAGCTATAAAGTAGGAAATAATAGCGAGCTTTCAGTAAAAAGAGATAGTGAAGCAACAAGTCAAGGAGCAAGACCAAAGATTCTTGCGAAGAATCCAGTGTTTTTTAACGCATTTGAAACAAACTACCATGATGGGAAGATACCATCCTTGGAGACAACTGGTATTAATCAAACCTTTCTCGCCCGGCACTCAACAGATCCGAGTCTTCCACAGAGCTCGTTTGCAGA